AATTATTTTGGGATTTTTCTTTTTTTATTACTGTAACTCTTTTTGAACTTTCTGATATGTTCTTTATTTTCTCTGTAGTTTTTTTCTGTTTAGCTGTAACTGATTCTTCCAATTTTTTTTTTTAAGGACTTGGAGTGATTTCAATTGTTTCCTGTATAGTATTTTTCTTGTGTTGTTTACTTTTGGGTATAAGACACAGAGAGTTCAATGATTTTCTTCAATTTTTAGTGTTTAACCCTGAAATTGATGGTTGCTGAATAAGTAGTAATGATGCTGAAGAATTTTCTTTTCCTTGGACAATGTTATCTTTATATCCGTAGACACTTATTCCGGACTGATTCAAGCTACTCTTTTTCTGATCATTATTTACAATCATAATAATAGAATCCTGCAAGATTGATGTACTTTCGTTGCTCAGGCTTTTGAACCTATCAGCATCCATATTGTTAGCAACTTTGATCAAATGTTCTGGGAAGATATTTCTGTTTACTGGCAACACACCAGCTCGCATAAATCCATTAGAAATAGTACCAATCACTGCAGCTCGTCTGTAGGCTTCCACAAATCTCGCTACTTGATACTGAGTAACTTGGCGACCAAAATTTGTCCTTAGCCATTTTTCTACGGCTTGAATATAATATGTGCTGATGCAGTTGTAGCATTATGATACCATTATTTTCGGCCAAGATTAACGCTTCCAGATTTTTAGAGTGTGTTGTATGACCATCGAGAAAAAGTATAACTTTGTTCGTACGTGATTGTTTGATTACACTAATGAAATGCTTAATCCATTCAACAAACAACGTAGAATTAATGTACCCAGATTCTGAAACAGTAACAACACTACCCTCAGGTGCGCCATTTTCAACGCTGGGTTCTGTCTTATTCTTTAAAAAATGAGCATTGGAGGCACAAATTGTCCAGCGGCATTATCACAGCAGACTGCACTTGTATTAACTCTCCTTTCTCCACTCGTAATTGCGCCAAATTGTTTTCTACAAATTTGTGAGAGATGTTATGTTTCTCTGCTAAGTCAAATGCCAATTTCTGAACGTTACTCATAGTCAATCTAAACATATTCTTTTCTAAGTCTAGAATGTGTTTGACTCGCATATTTTCTAATTTCAAATCAAAAGTAGTAGGTCTGCCTTTATGCATAGTTAAATCATTAGCAATCTTCTTTCGTTTCTTAGCATGACATAAAATAGTTGGTTTTGGAACAGAATATCTGGGAGATATTTTGTTCAAACTCATTTCCTTCGTCTCTGAAGCCGACAACGGCCTTTCTAAATCCTTCTTTTTCCATTTATATTTTTTTTTGATCACCGTTCATCTAAAAGAATACACGCATTTAGCTGACCAAATTGTACCATTACAATTAAGATAACTAATAGTAGTACGATTTATCATATTAAATGATTTAAAAAATATATGTTTTTACAAAATAACCTCATAACCTACTACGTTCGTTACTTTATAGTTCAAAAGGTGATTATAGACCTGTTCAATAAAAAATATAGTAAACTCTAACTTACTTTTTATCTGAGTAATTTCTATAGATACACGCATTAAAATTTACATAGAATCGTAAAAAAAACGTTTTTTTTCTCTCTAACGGAATACACTTGCCGGACGTCATTGCAAAACAAAGAGTAATTAAGGGTACTGTCAGCGCTTAGTTTTTTGCTGCCAGAAAAGAAAAGTAGTGAAATCTGATAAGAAATTTTGAGGTGGTACAATTTATCAAGCAGTACAATATACTCGACTTTCCCCTATTTAAATTGAGTAAAAATTAAGTGCGGAAAAAAATTTATAGTAGATTTTCACCTACAACATTTCTTATCAAATTATTTATAGAAAACTAAACCAAGTATTTTTTACATTATTTATCGAAAAAATATCAGTGCTCTGCAGTGGTCTGGGTGCGACCCGAAAGGTCCACACGACCAACTTCCCAGTGGAGAAAATGAAAAAACACCTCGAATAGAACGCGTTTCCAATTGTATATAACAGATTTAATTGTTATGAACAAAAAGAGTGAGTTTCTATTTATGTTATGCGGTTAGTAGCTGTTTTTTAGTGAAAGAAAAAATTACGCGTCGGAAAAATTCAAATACATCGCATGGATCTCTTTTTTCGTTATTTATAACAAATTTAATTGTTATGAACAAAGAGGCAGGTTGTCATTCATGTCATACAGTTAGTAACTTTTTGTCAGTAAAATACAAAATCACACGTTAATAGAACACATATATGTTGCATAGATCTTGTTTTCCATTCTTTATAACAAATGGAATTGTTATAAACGGAATGTGTGTGTTTTTATTAATTCGATATGGTTAGTTACTTCATTTCAGTAAAAGAAAAAATTGTGCGTTAGAAGAATTCAAATATATTGCATAGATCTCTATTTTCATTGTTTATAATAGATTTAATTGTTATAAACGAAAAGAATGAGTTTCCATTCATGTCGTACGGTTGGTAACTTTTTTTTAGCGAAAGGAAAAATTACGCGTTAAAAGAATTCAAATATATTGCATAGATCTCTATTTTTATTGTTTATAACAATTAAAATTTTTTTTTCAAATATTGTTATGATTGATAATCATTTGTTATTATCAATGTTCAATCGTTATAAACACAATTTCTTATTATTAACAATAATCATTGACTATTTTATTATCCTCAACGCTATTTTCTCCATCCCAACACAAGTTGAAAATTTCTTTATTGCTGATTTCGTTTTTTAAAAATTTTCTTTCTATGAAATACTGTCATCATGTTTCTGTACAATTATTCTAAACATTTGATATTCATATTTTTCAAAAGATCTCGAAATTCCGTCTAAAAAATGGTATAATTTATAAATTGCAGAATTTAGGTAGTTCACTATTTTTTCAGTTTTTTGATTCTGCATAAAAAATGGCTGGACCGATTTTGCTGAAAATCTAATCAGTTCTAAGTTACGTAATTACGCATCGAATGCAGTTGGTCCCATGTCGATATCATTTTTTGTTCTCGAGATAATCGAGGCGAAAAATAATTCCGAACGCACGTACGAACATCCGAACATACGCACATACGTACATACGTAGATACGTATATACACACACAGACGTCCACGTAAAAACTATCGTATTCAATTCTGAGGATTTTGAAACGTGGAGATATGTCAAAATTTGGGATTCGCAAAATCGGACCCATTACTATAACTTCCCACTGGGAAGTTAATTAATAAAAAAGACTTTATTTTATAGTTGTCATGGCATTCTATTTGATTTCAAACTCCTTTGCTGTTTTATAATTCTTTCACGTCATTATTTGCAAATGAGAATTTTGTTGCTCGCAGAGTCATTTCAGACATGTACATGGTATTACGTTCTACTGACATCACACTCCACGCGCAAAAATTTGCACAAAAGTGTAATGATGATCTTGTGACTGTTATTGCTGGAGTCTTTGCTAATTGTTCATCACCTGTAGCTGCTCATTTGCCGAAGCCTGAGTCTATAGCTTGTACCGTGCAACGTGTGCGTCAAAAGAAAAAGCTTTAAGTACCTTTTCCGCGAGCACTGTGAATTAAATCTATCGGCTAAATGCGTAGTATCAAAAAAGGGTGAAGAGTTTTTGCTTCATGATAGTTGTGGTGGAGTCGATAGGTTCTTAAAATTTGCGACTCTGAAAAATTTCAGTGAATGTAAACAGTCGGCAGCTGATAGAACATTCCCAGCGGTTCCAACTATTTTTGAACAATTATATACCGTTCATGGGATAAAGAACGGTGAAATCTTACCTCTTGTATAATAATGGCGCCTAATAAATCGAAAGATATGTACAATAAATTTTAAAAAATATTATGGAATGTGAAAAGTGATTTAAAGCCTGAAAGAATAATGATTAATTGCGAATTAGCTTTTATGAAAGCATTTAAGAAACATTTTCCAACTACTGTAATCTCTGGATGTTCGTTCCGCTATAGCCAATGCATTTGGCGACATATTCAGTTTTGTAGGTTACAGAAAAATTACAATACTGATATAAAATTAGCATTAGAAATACGTAAATTGATGGCTTTGGCGTTTGTACCGCCAGATGATGTTGTTGATGCTTCTGATAATTTAATAAAATCAGATTATTATGATTCTAATGAGATTCTACTTAACGAAATAGTTACATACTTTGAACGTACATGGATTGGATTGCGTAGTCGTAGTGGTAGGCAATGTGAGGATCCTATATTTGATGTTCCATTGTGGAATTGTTATCATGCTATTCTGAACGATGAAATAACTAAAGAATATATTGATTTTTTCTGTGAATTTTTTCTAAGTTGATAGAGTAAATTTTTTTATACATTTGAGAATATTATGTTGTAATGTTACGAAAGAAAAAATTACTTATTTTATGTTTTTATTATTGCGACTATCATGAGATGTAAAATGAATTATGATAGGTGTACAACGGGAAGTAGTGTTAATAACATTGATATATAAAAGAATACCATCGAACAATAGAAACTGTTTATAAACTAAAAAATAAATAATTACATGTTTTATAAATAATGATCTGTTTATTATTTATTGTGTATTTTTTGTAAAAGTTATTTTATCTGTGGATATTTTGTTTTGGAGTTACTTTGTCTTGTGAATTTTTTTCGTTAGATATTTTGTTGCGAATATTTTGTCTCCGGATTACTAGTTACCGTACTAGTGAAACGGACTTGTAACAATTCTCTACAGCACGTACTCAAGAATTTTGAATAGTGTTATGTTCTTACTAAAGTTGACCCGGTGTCTTTCAAATATTTGTAATAATGCAAAAATTGCGAGCAAAAATACAGAAATTATAAAATTTTGACTTTAAAAAATCTATATACTCGGCCTAGATATAAGATTTGATAAAGAAGTAACTCAAATAGCAATTCGTTAATAAACTACAGTAAATCATTCATTCATACATTTCAACAGTCATAAAGAATCTAAATAGACAATTGCACTAACCTCTTTTATACATCCAACAAAGTTTGGAATTCCTCTTTTTTTTGGTAGGATAGTATTTTCTGCCCCTCCACCAATTAAGAATTGAAGACAAGTAAGATGTGAGAATGAACCAGCGGTATGAGCATGTTCAGCATAAAGACCATCAATTATTGCAGAAAGCTGAAACCAATAGTAAGTCAAGAATCAATTTGGTTTTCACTGAAAAAATTCAAATAGACAGGGAAAAGTTGAAGAATAATTGTAATGAGTTTTCTATTCAGAACTTGCTTCAGAACAAAGAAATTCCTAAATATTAATAATACATGAATAATGATATTTATTGTTTAGACGGTGACACAAAATGTTGCATAAAACAGAAAGATATTAATAGATACAAAATTTTAGGTATGGCATAACAGAACTCTGAGCAATTTGCTTAGACGAGAGTGTCTGTATATCATATCCCAATGATAATCATGTTGAATTGTCTGAGTATTTAATGTGATCACGGGTCGCTCTTCCTGCTAAGTGGTTGAATCGTACACTGATGATTGAGTTGGCCATGATGATTCGTCTGCTGTTAACCACTGTAGACCTCTTCACCACAGGGAATGCTTCTAAAGCTAGGATATGCTGATACCTCTAGGAGCACAATCCGCTGGATTTCGTTTATCAGGTACAAACTTCCAAACGCTGATTGGAGTGAGATCTTGGATAGTTGACACTATTTCTCCCAAATTTCTTCCAATGAGATGAGTGAATCGAGGTCAATGTTACTAAAGAGTCTGTCCAACATACAATTTGAGTTAGCTAAACGTCTAAGTTGTTCCTTACATACGTGATAAGTCTGGCAAGCAGCAATGCTGCAGTGAGTTCTAGTCTAGGAATAGACATCTTCTTGAGTGGAGAAACTTTAGACTTGGAGAGGTTTGAAACATGGGTGAGTTCTGATCTGAGAGTGTTCCACTTGGAGATGCTGTGAGTAAGAACTGGTTCATTCCATCAGAGTTTATCTAGCCAGATTTTTTGCAGTAGAAATTTTTCTCTGACAATGAGAAATTGGTCTTTTTTAAGCTGTAGGAGATCGAACGAGACCTAATGATTCTTCTTCCAGAACGCTCAACCCTCCTGAGGCCGAAACCTCATGTGCTAAGGTCATCCATTCCGTCGAGTCACCAGAGAAGCATTCTTCACTCCTGTTAGCACATGTACTGCACCACTTCTCAGATTGACAAACCTGGATAGAGTGGTGGCCAAAGCAGTTAAAGCACAAGTAAGCTGCCGGTACGAGCTGGTATCTTTTTGCTTCTGATATTGTGTAAAAGGACATGTAATCAACCAGATAGTGTTCAAGGCTGTTGTACTTGTCGCAGGAGTAATCGGCCTGATTTTTTTGAGCTCCATGTCTGGAGACTTTAGCTGTTTGATGTTGAGTAAGCTGCAGGTGAGTTGGCTGTTGTTCAGACCTGGATTTGCGAGTAATCACCGGCGTCGGCCACCTTTTAGCCTGACGTGCAGTATCCTGAGCTGACTCCATTGCACGTGTCCTGGTTGTGATGAAGTTGAGAAGACTGCTGAGTGTAGTTGAAGACCTTTATCTTCTTCTCTCCAACTCCCAGGTCTCTCGTAAATATTGCTCGAGTTTACTGGCTACTAAATAGACCATGAAGTAGTTGGCTGAGTCGACTGGTACGTTAAGTGCCTTCAGACCTTCCAGGTTCTGTTTAACCATGCTTACTAGGTTGTCTAACTGTTCCGCTAACTTGGACAATGGTGTTTAGATGTTAAACAGATTTTTGATATGTGAGAAGATGAGTTGTAAAGGATTATCATACTTCTCTTTTAACTGGTTCCACGCTAGCTCGTAACCATTGTCATTCATAACGACATGTCTAATAAGTTGAGCTGGGGGACCAAACACATAAGCCTTGAGGTAATGGAATTTGGAGACTGGCCGTAGGTCTTTACGGTCATGGACCAGCGACGTGAACATATCACGGAACTGTGTCCATGTCAATGAGTCACCTGAGAACGTAGGTAACTTGATTTCTGGAAGAGTTGCTTGCTGGTATACAACATGAGTTGACTGCTGGGTGGACGCTCTGTACTTGTCGATGGATTTCTGTATATCCTTTCTGTGTAATTCAGATTTAACCCGGTGGTGAGTTGACTCAATATGATAGTGGAGTCGCAAGGCACTGTCATAGACTCTGTCAGTCATGTATGGGTGCTTGAAGAGTATTAACCGGCACTCCACACTTAATGCCTCGTGGTTGACTACGAAATATGTCCATAGCTCGTCCAGTTGTGTGAGCTTGCATTCATTTAAACTCATTTTTATGAGAGCAGGCTGTCTTACTAGCTCGGCCACATCATGATGCATAAACTGGAGCTGCTTATATTGAGACATTTGAGATGTCAGCTTCAATAGTGTTGTGTTGGCGGGTGGTGATTTCGATCTGTCACGAGACATTAATGCTTGATTAGGCACCTATAGAGTTTTCTCGGTGATACCATGTGTCTGAGATTTGCTTGGAATGTTCGATGGCACGTAGTCTAAGATCTTACTAACACCTTCAAGTAAATCACTGTCTTCGGCTATATCCACGTAGTCCGACTAAGCAGAAGAAATTACGCGTTTCTCTGCCATAATTCACTCAATTGAGTTTTCTAAGATCATAAAAAGTACATTTATCACTAGAAACAGCACAAAAACTATTATGATTTATTCTACTGGATCACTGAGACTGTGTAGAATGATCATTTTCGGTCACGTTTGTTCGAGAGACTTTACCTGAGATGACTGAACTGTATTGCTGCTAAAAAGCGTGAGTTTACTGCACAATCTGCGATTTCGCTGCGAAAAAAGTACAAAGTTGATTGCGTGATTTGCTTGGAGCTAACCGACGCCATAAGTGCTCGAAAGCGTGCTTGTTGGCGTCACTAGGGCCGTAGAGTTGTCTGCTGAGCCATGAGGAAAATACTTCTCGACGATTGGTCCAGTAAGTCGACTGAACAGCCATCGAACAAGTCCGGCATTGGACAAATTCGAATATTGTATTACGAACTGACTAAGGGTCTTCCAAGTTAGAAGACTTACGGTAAAATTTTAGTTAAATTGTGCATTAATTGTGGTACTTTTTCTATGACAAGTCTTTCATAGGATCGTTTCTAATAGACTATACTTAGAAGACAATACTGCAGAATGATAAATGATTTCGTTATGAGATAAAATTTTATTAGCAAATTGTACTAACACCCTTAGCGTTTCGTAAACCATTTGAAGAACAGTCAGACATCTTTTTCTTCGTTGTTTTATTACATCACTAGTTTTCTGTGTCCTTTAACTATTTCTTATTTATTATTCTTATTATAAAAAATACAATGATTTAACATGGCGGATTACATTTAGATGATCGCATGATTGACATCAAATTCTGCTTGCGTAGTTTTAAATTCGTATATAAATAAAAAGCTAACTTTAAGTGATACTCTAAATTTACTACAGCCTAATTCGATCATTAAGAAAAGAAAGTATAGAAAATTCTCTTAAATATCAAAGTCAACTTCAAGGGTTGAATTCAAATTTACTGTAGTTTAATATGTTTAGTGTTCAAGAAAAGTTCAAGAGAGTATACATATGAAGGTATAGAACTAATAATCGACTATACATTTTTCCTAATTGTTTTGTGAACGAAATTTTCTGATTTTGTGGAAAAAATCGTGGAAAAAGTACATGTATCACAGATATTTTTTATTCAGTTGATTTATTATCATTGTTAACTACAATTACAACGTGTCGAGTAAATTGATCAATAGTATTTACACAACTGTGACATTAATATTGGGCAATAAGAATTGAATTTATTTAAAAATTAATTTTATTAATTCAGTATATATTTTTGCTACTAACCTTTTATTTATGCATATTATTTAAATTAAATTTCTATATTTTATTTAAATGGTTTTTAACGTAAAATCATTATTAAGATTATGTTTTATGTATTTTGGGGGGTGCTCATCTCGCTACGGTAATGGAATGAGTCCGTACAGCCAGTTTTTTCTTTTCACAGGAGATGGCTTTTTGGACGTGAGGAACGAATCTCCAACCGCGTACACAAAGTCACACATCTATTTTATATGGATGACTTGTAAGTGTACGCGGCAAGTCCTAAGAAACTCCGAGCAGCCCTAGAGGTTGTATCTGAGTATACCAGTGCAATTGGCATGGAGTTTAGGTTAGAGGAGTGCGCAGTAGCCCGCTTAGTAAAAGGAAGATCACCGAACTCGAGTGATAATGTCGAGCTCACAGACGGGAGCATCATAAAACATCTGGATGCTAAAGAGTCATACCGATATCTTGGACGTGTATGTCATCGAAGATACTCTCCGCAGAAAGTACGAAAGGCAACTTCAGAAAATATGAGGCTCTGAATTATCAGGCCCTAACAAAGTCGCAGCCACGAATATGCTCGCTGTCCCAGTCTTGCTATACTCATTCGGAGTTCTTTAATGGTTCCCAAAGAGCTTAAAGATCTGGACACTATCACAAGGAATGTGATGACATTACATTGAAGTCATCACCCGCAATCTTCTGTCCAACGGAGAGTAAAAATTCTTTAGAATTACCCGCTCTCTATGCCTCAACACATTGAACACAATAAGCCGGATATTACTCTCTTTGACCATACCACCAAGCACGTATATTACATTGAGTTTTAAGCCCTGGCTGAGACGAATATACGTGCAAAAGGAGAGAGTAAACAGAGAAATGTCTATCACGAATACACAGCGCACGTGATAATCTTGGTGACTGGCGCCCTCGGAGGGATAAGGGACCGCTTTCTGACAGAGCTTCGAACAATACCATTCTGCCGTAGTCAGGCTGAGATTCTCGTGGTTCGTATGCAGAAAGCGGTCATCCTTAAACCTGAGGGAGTCGGGTGTCTGCAGGATAATTCCATCTGATCAGGCCCCAGGTGGGTCGGAGCCCTTGGATCCCTGGACAGATACATTTTACGAATCTCAAGATAATAACTATAAAAATGATAAAAATAATGCAAGTGATAGAAAGAATAATAACGACAGAGTTATTGGAAAGGTGTTCTGATTTTGCGTCGGCTGACTGAGAAGTCGGGAATTTGTGGACTGTATTTTCTAGGATATTTGGATGCTAGAAC